TTTAGTGTGCGCACAATAGAGGCTTAACTGTGGCTCTTATATTCTCAAAAACTAGCAAATCGCGCAGGAATGGGGAACAAAAAAATATGTAAAAGAACTAAGCTGCCCTTCTCTTTTCATTCAGTATCGTCGATAGTCAGTACCTTTTGCTTTTTCCATTGTCTTTCTATTTTACACCTACGGGTTCCTTACCTTGTTAAACCAGACCTTCTTTTGAAAAAAAAAAATGAATAATGAAAGATTTTTTTGCTTTGTTCATATAGATATACATAAAAATTGACACTAGATTTGAATAGAATTTTGCTAAAAAAAAAAATTTTTGAGCAAAATGAGAGCCCTTGCACATTTAAGAAATAAGAACATCTTTGTCGAAAGTGTGACTCTAATAAACTAAGGTTAGAAGTCTTCTTCTTTTCGCCTTTAAATTTTGTTTCAAGATCGCATATATACGTCCAGCTATGGTTTCTCAGCAAACATTTTGAGAGCATCGGGTTTACGAGAAGCAGGAATCACCGATCACAGTAACTAACCTTATACATTGCAGTGATAAATTACACAATTTTTTTTGCCCTAATTTTCAGCATTATGTAATCTCTCTACTTTTTTATTATCCCATCAAAAAACAGCTTCTGCTCAAAAAGGTTCTCAGCCAATTCAACGTTTCAAATATATTAACGCCCAGAAAGTTTGTTTGGTCTGCAACTCCATTCATTTTACTAAACTTTTCATCATGTTTCTCAGTGAAATAGTCAACGTTCAATTAAACCACCTCCTAACACAAATAATTTGCACATTAGCCCGTCCAAATAGAAGAATTGAGTCAATTTTTCTTTTAAATTTATGAATTTAAGTTCTTAGGCTATTATTTTTAATTTTAACTAACTTTCAAAGCCTCTTCAAAAAATCACTGGAAAAGAAAAGTGATAATTAGGCATAGTGACTAAGCGATATTATAATAGCTAAATAAATGAAAGGTAACTTTAATTGTTCCATGATTTATTCCAGTCAATTCTTTTTCTAAAACCGCTGTTTTCGAAAATGTTTTCTATTTTCTTGAGAAACTTATTCTTTCCCCTGAAATAATTCGTCAAAAGACTTCGTATTTTCCACCTTCTTAGAAATGTTGTTAAGGTACTGCTAAAGATGCAGTGGCGGAGTGAAGCTGTAAACATATTTTCTTAATTCGGCAGAGAGAACCAAAATTACAGCAAAAGTGCTCTCTCTTCCTTAGACGTGGGTCGAGTGGTAACAGTAAAAGATATATACACCAAGTTTTAAAAAAGCCAATTTTTTCTGACCCTTTGTTGAGCGCGAGAAACGGAAATGCAGCCTGATTGAACCTGGCCTAATCGACTAGTTTTCTAAATGGAACTCAAGTTTATATCAGAATAGAAAGGTTATAATTGTGCCAAACATAATCATAAGTCGTTTTTTGAATTGTGACCAGAAATTTTACTTATTATTGAAGTTTAATTAGACAGATCTTTTTTGAATACTTGCTGTTGCTTTACAGAACATGCAGAAAAATTTGGCCGAATTTTATAAACGGCATTAAACGCTGACCGACTGACAGTTTTACAAAATAGGTCAACCTAAATAAGCTTACAATTTTGTATATCAGCAGCGTTACCGCAATAAGATTGTGCTTTCAAACGGAATTCCGGTGGTGTTTTTTTGTGAAATACTCAGGATTACATGATTTGATGTTGGATTTCATTGCAAAATTGTTGCTTCAAGCGCGCTGTAACAACTTTCCGTTTGTAAATAGATTTCTTTATAACATTCCATGACATAGATACCTTTAACAGAAAACTTACGATATAAAGTGGAATTTTTAAGGCGTCAATAAAGGTTCAGAATATAATAGGTTTACTGAAAAAACTTCACTTACTTGTTTGACTGTTACCTGTACATATGCGCGATGACTGAACTTTTTTTTTTTTTTTTT